GCACGGCCACTGCTCCACTTCTTCTCCCGTTTGCATCCAAAATTTCTCTTTGCAGATGCACCCCTCTGCCTGCTGCCGGTCCTGGCCACGCTCTGTAGGAATTGTGTCATTGATGTTTTCCTCCTCCGTGTCCGGCGATGCAGTTGTCATTTTATAATCTTTTTGTGCTGACTTGCTTTTGGAGCTCGGAGGTGTCAGATGGCAAGCTTTGAGGGGGGGGAAAAACACGCGAGGCTCTCATGAGATCTGAGTAGGGGACGTTGATGTGTGAGATTCATCCAAACTGGGGAGTCGGAGACTGAGAAGAACCCCGGGGCCCGGCGGTGCCAGAACCACGCCGAGGGATGAGCGTGGGGGTTTGAAACCATTAGGCAAATGTCTGTGGTTTTTTTTTTTTAATTACAGCCAAAGCTATATCATAGGAAACCTTTCAGCGAGGGAGCGTGCGTTTGGGACCGAAGCATACGCGTTTTGTCGCCTGAAAATGGGGTTGGTTTTTCTCGGCGCTGGGATCGGCGAGGTCTGTCACAGCGCGCTTCCCTTTGCCGTCTTAAGAGGCTCCTTTGCTGCAAGAGCTGCAGAAGAGCCTGGGAGGGTTAAAGCAAAAAGCAAGATTAAACTGCCCGTTGAGGAGATGCAGCGTGATGAGGATGATTCCCGCATGCGATGCTGATCCCAGGCTTTTTTTTTTTTTTTTCTTTTCAAAAAAAGAAAGATCAAGGGATGCGTTTAACAAAATGAGATGCCCTTTATGTCTGTACTCGCAGGCATCCCTCGTAGCTGTTACCATGAAGGGAGAACATCATTAAGAAATAACGAATGGCCCTGCATGGGCTCCACCCCACTCTCGGTGCTGGGAAGCCTAATTAGAGCGCCGAGATAACGATGGAGTGCTTGGATGAATTTGCATGGGACTCCAGCCTATATAGGGTATGAAAGTAATTTATTATGCTTATTAGAGGGAAGCTTTTGTCGCCGCAGACAGAGCCCCGTTAAGACCCTTGGAGGTCCTGCCCCAACACCTGCGGATCGGGGAGGGGGGGGGCTCACACCGCAAATTCTCTCCCCAGCCCTGAGAGATTCTTTATTCTGGTGTTTGCTTTGGGGTGGTTTTGGAGGTTTCGGTGAGGCACGGAACGAGCACCCGGTGGTGGTCGTGGGGGGAGAGATGGGTGCTGCAGGGCGTCGCTGCGAGTAGCGTGCGGCTGGGTGGGCTCCGGGGTGGTCACCCTTGGGGGGGGGGGGGGGGGGGGGGGGGGAGCTTTGGGTGGGAACGCGGGGTCTGGGGCGCGGCGGGGGGCATCCCGAGGAGGCTGGGCGGCCAGTTGAAATCCTCTCGAGGCAACTGGAGACTAAACCACCTCCAGCTGTTCCCAGGGTAGAGCTGCACAGCTCCGAGTTAGATTTACTGTCTTTAAACTGTCCAGAAAGCAGCTTTGTTCTCCTTTTAAGCGAAAGCACCTGATCTGCTCCTTTAAAGCAGTTTGCTCGTCTTTCTTATCTCGCTTCTTGTTTTCCCCTTCCCCAAATAAATGGTCGCACTGGGCTTGGCAGCCTTTCCACGCTGCCAGGGGATGCTGAGAGCTGCGGGTTGGAGCAATGTCGGGGGAACCTGTCACTTGCCCACCCCTCTTCAGTTAAAGTTGCTGACACGGGGATCGTCATTAATGCTTCTTGCCTAACGAACGTGGCTCCTGAATGATGGCAAACACATAAACAGGTTTCATCAGGCAAACTCTTTCTGATTAAAACAGTGGTTTGGGTTAATTACGTGGAAGTGTCTTGGTTTGCTTTCGCTTTTCACAATTTTTGACACTCTGCACACAGGAAAAAAAAAAAAAAAAAAAAAAAGATTATTCCAAGAGTTTGGAAGTTTTTAGAGACATTTATGTGTTTGGTGCTGCATGCCTGCTGGCAAACCAGCCGTGAGCTGGGGATGGCTGTGCCGAGGGAGAGGTGCCCGACTGCACTTGAGGTGCTGGCAGAGCTGCAGCGAAGGACAAAGGTACAAACCACAATTGCTCGGGTCTGTTTCTGCTGCTCTTCTGGCTTCATTCACGAGCCCGTAGCACGAGGAACCTTCTAGAGTAAAAGCTTCCGGTGAAGTCACCAGATATTTAGCATGAGGAAAGACAGGGGAGAAACCATGGGCAAAAATCCCTTAGGCCCGAGCAGCCCACGGAATAAATCTTTATCCCTTGCCCTGAGCATCCTATCCCCGAGTTTTGGGCAGGACCACTGGCCCTTCCCAACGCTCCGATTCCCAGCGAGCTGGAGCACCGGCGGTGCCGGGAGCTGCAGATTCGGCTCCGGCTCAGCTCCGGGTGGCAATATGGTTTGTGGCCCATAAAAAAAAAAGGGGCAGTTCCCGAGCCTGAAAACGGGCTGAGATAACATCAGTGAAACCCAAAGCCAGCGAGCCGACCTCTCCTCGCAGGGAAGCGACTCGGAGGTGCCAACCCACATACTCAGCTCTGCGGTGCCTTGCAGGCGCTTCTGCTTCGTGGCTGCCCGTAAGCCTCCCCCCCCAGGAGGAAAGCAGCACCGATAATTGGTGTTAATTGGCCCTAACCATACCCTCCGAGATCAGGGCTGCCTTTGGGGCTTGGGGGGGGTTTGCTGTTTGCACATGGTTTGACCTGGGTGTGTGTCATGCTCTGCAGTCGTGTGCTGAATAACCGTATGCAGCCCGTCCAGCAAACTCTTGTAAAGGGCTTTTAATGCGGCCGAGACTTGCAGCAACACCGATAAAATGTAGACCAAAAGTGTGGGATAATGGCTCTGTTTTTCTGCAGCGATTGCTGAGAGAGATGTGAAACTGCCCCATTAAATGCTCCAGCTCTATCTGCGGGACATCAGGAGAGGTCAGGGGTCTATTCTTTCTTATGTTGTTAATATTTTGGACTGAGCCACGCTTTGTGATGTAGAGGTTTGGTCTACAATGCTTCTGCCTTAATGAACTATAACAGCACAGAAGGCAATTATGTTTTTGTCTAGACCTGTCTAAGACCATCAACAGCACCTCATTACTTTACAGATTGTTAATGCTGTTGGCAGAAGTTGAAGATCCTCCTTGAAAAAAAAAAAAAAAAAATCAAATTTATTCTCTGTTGCAACATACTTTAGCTGATGATAAATGATAAAATGATAAATAGGGGCTGGTGGCTAATTAGACCTCTCTTTGTTCAGAGGCAGATATGTAACTGTAAACCGTAACCAGGATAAAAGGAAGAGGGGAAATGGCAGAGAACTCACACGAGGTTTTTTTTTTAAAGATCGTTAGAAGCTTTAGGAAAATTAGGAAACAAAACCGCTGCTGTTGTGTCAGCCCATCTTCTCTGTGTAGAAGGACTCATGGTCAATGATTAATCATATTGTTCTCAAGACTTTGGGCATGGATTCATTATTCATTTTCGTGTACATATCTAATCTGATAAGGAAGAGGTGACGCCCCAATGGGGCAGGGCCCCCTTCCCCCAGCCCAGGGGGCTCCCAGCCCCATCCAACCTGGCCTTGAACCCTTCCAGGGAGGGGGCAGCCACCGCTTCTACGGGCAAATTTCTTTGAAATTTTCCAATTTCAAAACACGTGGTGCAATTACTCATTTTCCCCCGCATTTCCATCCCTGTTCCTATTCCCATCCCCTACGGAGGGGGCTGCGTGCCGGGAGGTGCCGTGGTGCAGATGGAGCCCCGGCATGGGGGGCAGGGACTGAGGGGGGGGCCAATGCTGACCGGCGTGGGGACCCCCCAGGGCCGGGCGTTACGAGGCGAGGCAGAAGCATCCCGGGAGCGGGATTGTGGCAAATAATTCAGGCTCTGTCAGCACAAACGTTGCGAGAGCAGAGATGCGTGTTGTGAGCTGTCAGCTGACAGCAATGGACTTGTTAGGCTCCTGATTGATGGCGACGGCCATGGAAATTGCCAGAAGCCGTTCCAATCTCTGCCCGGCTCCCACACGGCCGTGCACGGGGACTGGGGGGGGAGCGCTGACAGGGGATTTGGGGCAGCCACGGGGCTCTGCCCGCTCTGCCCTCTGCGCTGCTCGCCGTCGCTCTCGGCTGCTCCCTGGCACCTTCCAGACATCAGCCAGCACATCCAGCCGGTCGCAGATACAGATACGAGCGATTCGGTGTCCCACGGGTCTCCTCCATCTCTGCCCACGGAGCAGCCCGGGAGGGAAGGGCACACGATGCGGTCGGTGATGAGTAAGGCTCAGCGAGGAGGGTACAAGAAGGAGAGACGAGCGCGTCACCTTCTTCTCGGAGCTGCGTGGTTCTCGCGTGTTCTGACTTTCTAACCGTGTTCGCGGAAGAGCTGCTGCCCGTTCGGCGTCCCGGGGGCGGGGGGGGGGGGGGGGGGGGGGGGGATGAGCAGGGGATCAAAAGCGACGGCCCTCCGGCCACCTCCGTCACCTTTCAGCCCACAGCTGGGGCGAGTGCACCGCAACCTTCCCGCCAACCCGGGGGCCAAAGGGCTGCGGGGGGCCCACGGGCTGGTGGTGACAAGGGGCCAGGCGTGGGGAGGGGAAGGGCGGGCGGGGAGCAAACCTGCGGCAAATCAGCCCCTTCCACAGACGCGGCCCGACCTCACAGTCCTGTGGTGCAAGCCACGGGACCTCGAGGTGCACTGGGGGGATTGCTCCTACCTGTTACGACGCCACTAAACCGGGCACGGTGGGCTTGGTTTCCCTGGTCCTTTCTTTCCTCTTAGCCCATATCCTCTGTGATCCAGCAGCCCTACAATGAAAGGAGCAAAATCCTACATGAGAAACCTTGGGGGGGGGGGGGGGCAGGGGGGCATCTCTAGCGCCTTGGTCAGGTTTGAAGGCCAGGCATCTTGTGGAAGTGGTTGTCCTACTGCAGAGAGCACCTGAGCTCACCTCTGGGCTTTGAAGAGTGAAAATCACCAGTTCTCACAGCCTCCACTGTAGACTTCTCAGCCGTTTTTTGTTTTTTTTTTTTTTTTTTCCTGGGTTTGTAGGATCTGGTGGCTCTCGGGAAGCAGCTGGAGGACGTGCCTGGGTGGAAGGGGAGGCAGGGCCGGGCGGAGCGGGCGGTGCAGCCCCCGAGGTGCTGGCTGTGGGTGCTGCGAGCAGGTAAGGGTGTGCGCGTCCGCGGTTATCCGACATGCCCGCCGCCCGTGCGCGTTGCCCGGGGATAACATTGCTTCAGCCCCCGCTGCACACAGCTGCAGAGCAAACGGGGCGGCTGTCTTGTTAAGAAGGTTTTGATGGGCTGATTAATGACGCGGAATACGCCTTCTCTTAGGAAAGTCCCCTCTTGTTCTGCGTTGGCCAATGCCAAAGAGGAGGGGCTGCTGATACTAAGTGCTCATATTGGGGAATTACCCAAAACAGGCCGATGCTATCCTGAGGTATGGAAAGGTGCAAGCGTCTGCCCTGGAGATCTTTCCATCTGGGCCGACGGGGTGGGAAGGAAGCGTAAGCCTGGGAGATGTGTGACTGTGCAGACGTTTATCTCAGAAGCTGGAAGCTTGGCAAATAACAAATGTCGTCATGCGGCCGCGGATGGGGAAGGGGGGTTGGCTTTGGTTTTGTTTTCGCTAAGGGATTGGCCTCCTTGCCAACATCGCCGTGCGGGAATGCCTGAAGGAGCAGATGCGTGCTGTTTCCTCGTCTCGTCTTTCGCAGCGGCTCTTGCCCCTGTGTTTTGCCTCTCCCCGTCGCTTCACCGTTTGCTCTTTTCCCCGAGGTAGGCTAGGGAAAGAGGAGCTTACGGAGGCCCCTTCCCTTGCCCGCAGCCCGTGGCCGAGCCTGATGGCAGAGGAGTGGGTGCCGCCCGTGAGGGTGCTCCAGCCCAGCACCAAACCATGCCCATCACCTTTCATCTGAGCTTTCTGCTGATCCCCAGCGTCGGGGCCTTGGAGCTCCTTCCTCTTGTACGTCCCACGGCCCGTGGGTGTGACTCAGCCCGCAAAAAGAGAAGGCGGTTGCTGTTCTCAGGAGAAGCCTTTCCATTTGGGATGGGATAAAACGAACGGCCCAAGGCAGCGGTAAAATGCTGCGTACTGTGTGGTCAGGGGGTTTCATCTACAAGGGAAGCGTGTTCAAAGCAGAGCTGTGCCAGGCACGGTTGTTAGGATGGTATGGAGGATGGAGAGTTCATTTTACGAGGGTAGGCAGACATTTGTTTGCTTATTCAACAAAAGCAGCCTGTGGAGGAGGTTATGGTTGTGAGTAATAGATATACTGGGGACATAAGCATGAAGGAAGATGAAAGTATGTAATGCAGATGTGAATAAACAGAGACTTGACTTCCGAAGGCGGCTTGGAGCCCTCTGAGAGGGGAAGTGCTGGGATCCCCTTGGAGAAGTGTCAAAGTGGAGCCTGATAATGGGATTTTATGGCACGGCTAGCAGGGCTCCGTGGTCTTTCCGATCTTATGTGAAGAGAATTGGCCTACAGTTAACTGCAAAATATTGAAAAGGCTCGTTTGTGCCGTGGCGTGTGCGGTGCGGAGCCCCGGGGGCAGGAGGCTGTGCCGTGGGGTGGGCAATGGCCAGGCAGGGGTGGGCGGTGAGGGACCACCGGCCCCTGGGAAAGCAGGGGCTGGATCCAAACCTCTGTCTGCCAGCAACCTCGCAACATCTGAGGTAGCACAAACTGTTCATCTCTGTGACCCCGATCTAATTTAAGTTGTTTATCTTAGCTGCAGAAAGAAAACGAGGAGGGGGGAGTGGGGGGAAAAAAAAAAAAAAATCAAATCAAATCACAGTTGTGGAATTCATTGTGGTGTTTATTACCTTCTATTGTGTTATCCCCAGCCCTGATACGGACCCTGCAGCCACGTGGCGCTGCCTGCGCCGGGTTCTGCCAACGCTCTTCGCTCTGACCTGAAGGGATCACTGTGTCTTAGGTATAAAATGTTATTCCGTTCCCTCTTTTTCAATCTCGGGGCTCGTTTTAGCGCATGTGATCATTTTGAATTGTTCTCAGCAGTGAGGTATTTTTTTTAATGGACTATTGAGCTCAGATAACAAATTTTAAATTATAACACACATGACCTGAGCCAATTTAAACTTAATCTAAAATGCCGAATAGCTATTACCCCAAATGGCTGCAAGAACACACACACACTCACACGGAGTTGTTGTTTAAAGAAAGTTATTGCAGTGAAGTGAACGAGGCCTCCAACCCACAAAGAAACCAAAACCTCAATCAAGTACATCACTAGACCCCAGTGATTTAAAGCAGATTTGTGCGGACCAAAATCTGAACTAAAATATTTTTCTGTCTCTTCAGGCCACATTAAAAGGCAGGCTGCTTCGATGTGAATTTTTATTTCTTTTTTATTTTTTTTATTTAAATGCCCGTTTTTGTCAGGGCTGTCATTCAATTACCGAGGCCTGGGGCTCGCTTGTTTTGAGCTGAGCTTGTAGAAGACGGATGCTGGTGCTGCAGGCAGGTGCTCCTGGCCGGGGCACGGGGAGGTGGGGACCCCCGGGGAGGTGGGGACCCCCGGGGAGGTGCTCAGCCCCGGTGATGGATGCTCATCATCAACATCAAAGGCCTTTCTGTATCCACCGAGCCACCCGATTTAGTGTCTGTCCCGCGTCCGTTGTCCCGTCCTCTGCCAAGGAGGGTTGTCCATGCTTGCGTGGTTTGCTTTGAGTGATTCTCATCGTGTGCAGGCAGAGCCCGGGGTGGCCAGGGCGGAGCGCTGGGTCTTGTGCGTTCGGTCTGGTCTCCGTGTTCCTGGGGTTCATCTCCCGGGATCTGAAAGTTTCTGTACGGGCCGGGGCAGAGCAGGATGAGGCCATCACCCTGGCTGCAACCAGGGTCACTGCTTTGAAGTGATCGAAGTCTTAGCAGCACAAAACCAAGGCGAGTGTGTCCGGGTCCGGGGCCACGCTGTGCTAACGGGCTGGACCCCAGCATCAACCAAGCAGCGCCTTTGCTGTTATTAATTAAGATTTTACCAGCTGCTCTTTGTCTCTTCTTGCCTCTTCCAGATACCCTTCCTCAGCTGAGTGGCTCAGGCAGAGCTCCCGAGGGATGAATTAGAGATAGCACGCGTGGATCGGCTGGAGGAAAAAACTACATTGAACGCGGCCAGAGAGCTCCTTTTTGGGGAATATTTGCAGATCGGAGGGTCCCTTGCGGGGAACGTCCCCCCAAAAAGCCCAGCAGGCGCACAGCGGCCTGCAGAGCGAGGCGGGCAGCTCTGCGGGACGCTGCGGGGAGGCTTTTGCAGCGTAAAGCTGCACGAGGGGCTGTGCCGTGCTGTGCCGTGCCCAGCCGTGCCGAGCCGTGCCGTGCCGAGCCGTGCCGAGCTGTGCCATGCCATGCCGTGCCGAGCCGTGCCGTGCCATGCCGTGCCGAGCCGTGCCCAGCCGTGCCGTGCCGAGCTGTGCCGAGCCATGCCCAGCCGTGCCGTGCCGAGCCGTGCCGAGCCGAGCCGTGCCGAGCCGTGCCGAGCCGAGCCGTGCCGAGCCGTGCCCAGCCGTGCCGTGCCGAGCTGTGCCGAGCCGTGCCCAGCCGTGCTGAGCCGTGCCGAGCTGTGCCGAGCCGTGCCGTGCCGAGCCGTGCCGAGCCATGCTGAGCCGTGCCGAGCCGTGCCGAGCCGTGCCGAGCCGTGCCGTGCCGAGCCGAGCCGTGCCGAGCCGTGCCGTGCTGAGCCGTGCCGAGCCGTGCCGTGCCATGCCTTGCCATGCCGTGCTGAGCCGTGCCGAGCCGTGCCGAGCCGTGCCATGCCGAGCCGTGCCAAGCCGAGCCGTGCCGAGCCGTGCCATGCCGTGCCATGCCGTGCCATGCCGTGCCATGCCGTGCCGTGCCGTGCCATGCCGTGCCGTGCCGAGCCGTGCCGAGCCGTGCCGAGCCGTGCCAAGACACAGGAGCAGCCGCCACAAACCGCAACCGTAGAGCCTGTGTGCAAGAAATCATCCGTGCTGAATAAAATGACAGCAGAGCTGTAATGCTTTGTGGAGTGTGTTTAATGAAAATATCAGCCCAGGCCTACGACATGAGGCATTCATGTATAATAAAATGAGGTTCCTGAAACACTTCAGAGCATAAACCATCTGGTCTGCTGCGATGTACTAACAGCTTTGACTAATTTTTAATGCAGGTTTTATGACGGATATGCACATCACGCTACCCATGCATAAGGAAGATACAGCCTGGCTGCACTTTGAACTGAACTGACTGATGATGAATTTGTCTCCCATTTTAATTACTTTCTGTACATTAAAGGTGTAGTGGACCATGTGAAGTGCTTTGTCTGCCTTATCCCCCCTGTGTCCCCACATCTCCTTCAAGTGCCGGAGCTGCCTCCACTCCCTTATCTGCAGCCACGCGTGCGGGCGATGGAAAAGAGGGAGATGGAGAGAAAACTGCCTCACAGAGGGCTCGGTCAATAAACACGCTGGGCTACCAGCAACAACTGCGTTTCATGAGGATAATTAGTTCTTATTAATTATGTCCCTTGAAATTTTCCCCGGCCCATATGGCACGGATCGGTGCTGCCTGGTGGGGTTTGCAAGGAGAGCTCACCATTTTCTTCTGCGCAAATCAGAGCGGTAACTCACGGTGGAAAAGGCTTTCAGACTGCAATCTCTGCTCTCGGCTCCTCTCGCCAGGCTTTTTTCTCTTTAATGAATTTTTAAAAGACTTTATCAGCTTCAAAACATATTTATTTATTTAACAGAACCCAAAAGTGGAACCATTTATCTGAGCAAGCCCCAGACATTCGGGGCAGGACTTTTGCCCATTTCTCGCTGAATCTGCAGCCTGGCTCGGCTCTGCACCTCTCCTAATTCCCAGGAGAGCTGGTTCCCCGAGGAGAGACCAGTTCTGAAAGGTGAGCATCTCCTTATGTTGATTATTCTGGCAAAATTCAAATGACCGTTTGAAGTTTTAGTTTGGGAGGACCATGCCCCCGTTTCTTCAACTTTTCTCATCTTTTGGGAAAAAAGGAGACGAATGAATGATGCTCGGCCAGGGCTGGTATGGCCGTGAAGTCGTGTCATTCCTCTCCCCTTGCACCACGGCAGCTCTGGAACATCAGAGCTGCAAGTGATTTGCTTTCTGGGTTAGCGACAATACCAGGATTTAATTTGTCAATTGAAACGTGCAGCAGGACTTCAGTCAACAAGCGTGGGGCTTTTTCCAGCTCCCCATTCTCTCTCCTTCCACCAGGCCTGGAACTGGGCAGACCATTAATTGCAAATACATCATCTAATGACTTTAGTCCTTTGTTTATTCTGAAAGTCATTTGCGAACCGATCACGATTCCTCTCTCTGCCGTCATCCTTCGGGATGAATGAGCTTTACTGTAGTCTGGGAATTTGGCTTTGGCTGTAGTTTTGATGCTTGCAGCGTTGTCCTGGTTTTACTCATCGATTGGCCAGCTGAAGCCTTTTCAATGGGAGAGGGCTAAATAATGACTAACCTGTCTCCTTAAGCGAGTGTCCAGACGTGCTGAATTTCAGAAACCTTTGGGGATTCACCAGTGTTTGAACAAGTAAGCCAACAGCCATCCTGTTGCTGGAGACGAGCTAAGGCAACGGCCATGCTGTGAGCCACCGCAGACAAAATGTGTTTTATTAATGGGAATACCCACAAATCACAGCTGATGTCCTCCAAATGGAAACTTAAATTCTAGTCGCACTGTAGAAAAAATTAAAAATTCAGTAATGAGACTGGGCTTGGTGACTGAGCAGAAGGGAAAGTACCTACAAGCAGCAAATCAATTGCCAAGGACGGAAACCCCTCCAAGTGCAATGTGTTAAAAAGCAAAATGTCATTTTATTGGATGTTCGCTTCGTCTTGCTAACAAGCACTCTGCTTCATCCCCTTTTCCTGGAGGATTTCAATTTTAGCTTTTCTGCTGCATTCTCAGTTCCGTTGTTCCTGCAGATCTCCAAGCGAGCGTCTTGCCTAGCCTCCGCGGGTCGGTGGTAATGGGGCTGTTCTCCCATTAGCAGCAATAACAAGTTCAGCACTTAAAACCAAGCACTGACTGATTTAAGCGGTTTCGTCTCGACCGTCCTCGACCATCAGGTGCAGATATTAAATGCATCCCCGTCGCGGCGTGCAGCTTCAGACAGCTGCTGCATTTGCATACCCCGTTCCTCAGTACAAACGAGAGCCCGCTTTTGAAAGTTTCTTTGGGGAATACCTCACAGTTGGCCTTGTTTGTTTAGGAAAATATTTATACAAGTCGGTCTTTGAAGAGGAAAGGCTCGCTGAGAGGAGCTGGGCGGCGGGGAAGGAGCGGAGGAGCTGGTCCAGGCGGCAGGGCTGCCATTGCCGGGGCACCCCCCCAGCTTGCTGGGGGTACACCGGAGTTTGCAGGCTGCACCCGTTGCTACTGAAGGTCCTTTCTGCTCCCCCCAGTTTGGCCTCCCGCTGGGACCACAGCATCCTCCCAACCCTGAGACCTACAGGTCCTCGGCAGCTGGGGAGAGGAGCTGCCCGGGCATCCTCTGCTGGGCACGGGCAAGTCTCTGCTGCCAGCGCTGCGGGGAGGTTTTTCTGGAGCAGAAGGAAATCCCGGTGCGCGTGGGGTGTGCGAGCGGGCAGTGTGTCCGACGGAGCTGCACAGACCTCCCCGCCGCATGCATTAATTCGGCTGACTCCCCAGACCGGTGCCCAGGGCAGGGTCCCACACGCTGGTTGAGGTTATTCAGGTCTCCTGGGGCCAAGCACAGAGCTGGACAAATTCTCCAGTTCCCGGGGGAGCATCCCGAGCGCTGGCCATCCCTGAAATGGCCAGACCGGGCAGCGGTGGGGGGCTTTCACCCCCCTGAAATAGGGTCCACAAAATCCCCCAGCGCCTGGCATGATGCTGCTGATGGTTTTGGAGTGCAGCGTTGGGAGTGACGGGGTTGTTCCAGCTGGTGCCCAACGTGCTGGAAGTGGTAAGTGATGGTGAGCCAGGGAGCTCATTCAGGGTTGGGTTTTCTTGTTTGTTTTTTTTTTTTTTTTTTTTCCCTTTGAGAAAATCATAGCTGGGCAACAACAACAGGTCTGGTGCTGCTCAAGCAAGTCCTGAGTGTCCCCCCTCCACACGTCTCTGCTCTAAGCTTGGGGAGCCCCGACGGGCAGCCACAAGCTCGTCCCTGTGCCGCCAGCTCCGCTTGCAGGAGAGAGGAAAAACCACGTGCACCTGGCATTGGGAGATGCGTGTAAACGAGCATCGGTGCTCAGATCGGTCACTTTGCACCCGCGGGGGCCAGGCTGCACTGGGGGGGGGTAGCTGTGGAGCGGGGCTCTCCGACGATTCGGGGTCCGGGCAGGAAATGGGGCATCGCCTCGGCTGTCCCCGTGGCAGCAGGGGTGGGTCCCTGCCCTGCCGGGGGGCTTTGGCTGTAAAGCCGGGACTAAGGACTTTACGGTTTTAATACAAGGCTGTCTCCTTTTCATCTTGGTGATTAGCTACGGTTCGGGCCGATTTCCCGCGAGCCCCCCAAGCCGCGTCTGACCCACTTGCGTGGGTCGGGCAGGGCGAGCGCCGGCAGCGTCGCTGGCCGGCGGGCAGATGGACGGTGTTTCAGGGCAAAAAGCACAGGTCCCTGCCAGCCATGAGCAGGGGGAGCTGCAGCGGGCTGGAGGCCCCTCTCTTCTAATTGGAATTTCAGGTTGCCATTGGTCATTTTTAAGTATTTTCTCCCATTCCCTGCACTGTGGCGGGGGATGCTGCAGGATCTGTGCGCCGAGGAGTGGGCAGGATAAGGGCAAAATCCATTTTGCCTGGTTGTTGAATAGGGCCTTTTTATTAGGTCAGAAATGTGGCTGACTTCTTTCCATCTGACTCCACGTTTCCTGTTTTCTTCGGGGACCTGGCATGAAAAACACCGAACCACCACAGGAAGGATCGTTCTTGCTTGTCCACTGAAATTCAGGACAGGCGAAAGTTTTCACACGGGTTCCCCTGGGATTCCCCAGCCCGGTTTTGTACACACAAGTGGTTTAAATCATCCAAGCACTTAGTTGAACTGGACTTCATGTCCAACCCTCTTGAGATCAGCCCATCTCTAGTTACTGCTCCAAACTTTTACTTTTATTGTTACGTAATGATAATGCTGCGTTATCACCTTTCGGAGTCGTCTTCTCCTAATGGGACTTATTTTTTTGTATATAAA